TCTATTTTGACGTATTGTCATTAATACGTCGGTTATTTGTTGAATACAATGTGACGTATTATGAATAATACGTTACATTAAATTTATAATGTGGGACGATGAGAAAAGAAATATGATTTCTTTCTCATCGTGCAGGAGCAGAGCTCAGCACTCTCACGGTGCCATCTGAGTCCAGCTTCTCGGTAAAGAAGCTGTTTAACTGTTCTAGTTGTGTGTCAATGATGGCACTTAATTGTCTTAGTGTTTCGGGACCGTGAGACTGCTTGCTCTGCAATTTTAGGTTTTGAGCATTTTACAAAGACTCTGGAATAGGGCAGAGTACGATCGGGAGTGAAGCTGGACGGTCATCCCAGCTCCTTCAAATATTAATAACGCGTTTGCCGAACCCATCAATAACACTGTCGTGTATTGTAGTTAGTAGTTGAGTTAAATATACCATACTTTTACCAGTTAATCGTGTATTTATCTTCGCTACAATACCTTCCAATTCCCTTATCATTCCCAACTTGAGTGAATCCCACGCGACAGTTAGCCGGGCAACAAAGGGTACGACGGCCCTAGGAAAGGAAAGCTTATTTCTATTTGTGACTAGTCCCAGGGACTAGTCACATGTTAGATCACCCAGGATTAATGCGATGGGTGATCTAACTCAAAACGTCACACTATATATCTCTATATGAATATTTACAACATTATTTAAAAGAAGAATTTGGGAGTTCAAAAGGTTTGTGAAGATGTAAAACAAAGAAAACTTTTGTAACATCAATGAAATAAATGAAATTGAAAAAAAAAATTGATTCATATACTGATCGTACATATTACGATATATGCTTTCATGTATATTTCCATATAGAGTGAAATGTTGGGTAAATATAATGAATGTAAATATATACTTGTCAATCTACAATATTTGTATATATACCGGCATGGTTATACCGGTTAAAATAACACGTAAATTTCAACACAAAGATTTAACACTTGCATTTTCAACACTTGACAATTGAATATATACAAATTTAATACTTGTGTGTGTGTGTATATTTGTGTGTATTTAAAGTTTTGTCACCTCAATAAGGCCCAGTTATGATAACAATTAAGGGATATCAACATGAATCTGACACTAGCGAAAGATTCGACAGCAGAAAATTTGCCTTAGGCAAATCTAGGGGTGTACAAATATTTTTAACTAATGTACAAACACTTTCGCACTTGAACATTTGTACGTATGATCATTTGACTCTCCTACATTTAAATATCCCCTAAATTGAATTTTCCGCTGACGAATATTCTGCTAGTTTCAGCTTCATGATATCAATGCCGACTGTGATATTCTTGAATATTTGCGTACTCAAGCCAGCAATATTCGAATGTGTGGATTGATTACATAAAAAGACGATTGAGAGGATTATATCGCTGATTTATTCTAAAGCGTTGTCATTCGTCATCGTATTTATTTCGATTGTTGGACACTGGGGTGGTGTGTAATTGGAATTAGTAATGTTTTGGTGATAATTCAAACCATCTGGTCAGGAATAATCCTTATTGCTTGAGGGAAATGACTAGGGAAACGGGGGAATTTCATTCTGAAGCAAACAAATATGGCTGGTTTTGCCTCAGTCCTTTTCCAAACATAAGAATAAATTTCATCCAATTAAAAATGTTTTACCCGGATCTTGGTGAGTACTATATAGATAAAATAGATAGTGTTCATTTGGTTTTTTTTTCTCTCATATACCCTTTCGGGTTTTTACAATTTGTTCCCCCCCCCCTCCAACCCCCTGTACCGCATTCGCCGCAGGACAAGAGAAAACCTCATTTGAGGGAAAAACCTGCCCAGGTACAGTCGCCTCTTGCGAGACTCCTGCTCGACAAATGAAACCGTGAGATTTAGAGCATCGAAAATTCCCCTCCCCCCACCCCCAGTCGGGAATCGAACCCAGATCTCCCGCGTGCCAATGCCACACTCTAACCACACAGCCACCGCTGTCGGTTGTGTTCATTCATCAGTTTCTTATGAAATTTCCCTGCCCTTTCACCCCGACCGCTCGAGACGTTAAATGTTTTTAACTCATCTAAAATGAAATTGTTCTTCACTCTAAATTCATTGACACATTCTGACTGATGTCTAATGATGTGTCAATGTCTGATGATCTGACTGATGACATGACACATTCACATCTGCCACATTTCTTGGCTCTTTTTGGCATAAAAAATTGAGAAAATCTTCTCAATAAACTTCATAGACTAAAAACCGATAGAACAATCTTGTACAATTGAAAATATAGAGTTCTCAATTCAGCAAAAATTTTTGTTTGACTGAAATCCCTAGCAAAATAGCGGAATTTCATTCTGAAACAAAGAATAAATGGCCGGTTGTGCCCCAGTACCTTTCCACACATCGTAAGAATGGATTTCCTCAAATAGAAAGTTTTCCATGCGCTCCCGGGTGAATACAAGGGTGAAACAGGCCACCTTTATCAATTTAAGCGGAAATTTCAACGCGAAATCTCTTCAACTTCTCTTTTAAAAAGGAACCGTCCTACATTCTAGAACAACATGCCAACCTAAGAAGTTATTTTGAACGGAGTTTCATCTTCACCTCCGAGAATCGATACCTCACCATGCCATTGACCAGAATCTTCCTCTCCAAATTCGAAAAGAAGAAATACAAAAACCAAAGGAGTCTCCCGTCTGTTGCTCTCCTGCACCATCGAGCATATGGTAAGCACCGCTGACGTCCGACTTTTGGTTGATCGCAATGCTGTCCATATGGCACAAAACCACTCTTGGGTTGGTATTCTATCCTGGCTTTTATTTTTTCCCCCGTCTTTGCCTCCGAGAACCAATATTATACATCTAACACACACTCGGGTGGAAAACATTTCAAACGTTACCAACTACCACGGCATTTATATTTCTAAAGAAAACCACGATTCTATTTGCGGAGTATATATACTGGCAGTCGTAATTTGCGGTCCCCAGCGTAGGGGCGTACGAGCGCGACACACTCTTGGACGTTTTGTCTGCGCCTTCATGCCCCCCCGAAATGCGTGGAATAAGAGAAAGAGAGAGAGAGTGAAAGAGAGGGAATTTAAAAAATGTCTGAAACAAAGAAAGGGCTATTTAAAATTCATAAGGAGTCGGTAATAGAATGATTTTCCATTCATTCGCCGTCCATATGGGAGCATTTCGATTGATCGAGTGAATAATTTTTACCCTCTCCTTTCATAAACATCCAGCATTAGTCTCACGGGGGCAGTTGTTGGGGCACGCAAAACGGAAGACGGTGAATAATAGAGACGAAGGAGGAAGAAGCGAAAACCACATGATTCGGGGGGTTATGGAATTGCTCGAAGGAGAAAAATGAAAGAGAGAAGGAGATCCATGAGAGACATCTCGACGCACCATTTCCGGGCACATGGTGGAGGTTTTGGCCGGTGTGATATACTTTATCCTTCCGTTTCTATTCCCATTCCCTTCATACACGGTAATTCGTATTTCAGGTTCAAAGGATTTTCAAGGTCAGGCACAATTCGCCATCGAGGATTCAGAAGTTTCATAGAATCCTTTCTGCTTTCGGGGCATTTGTGATGAGACAAATGGACATATGGTACTGAAATAGAACTTGAGATGTTGGGGAGAGATTTAAAGAGTTTGCTGGGGATTTGACAGTTTGCAGGGAGAAAAATCAGGTTTAAGTCCGCGTGTATTATGATCTTTCAAGCGTGATCTTGGTTGTTTTTTTTATTTTGATAATCTGAAATGTTCTTGAAATGCCATTCGGTTTTACGTAGCCCTGAAGTCTTCAAAAATTATGATTGCACAATTAAAAAAGCGTTTTAAAAAATGAACATTTTCAAAGTGTTTTTGAATAATATTGGCAATAAACCAATATTACTGAAAATAATATTGAATTATTGAATAACATTGATTTCTATTGAATTGATAAAGGCGGTGCAATTCCTCCCTATTGGGCAATAAGTCCAATAGGGAGGAAATTGAAAATTAATAATTAATTTTTACAGTTTGGTACTGACTACACTATAGATTCAACCATTTTCAATCATCAAATTTGTCAATTAAATTGCGCGAGAAAAATTTGAAAAAAATGATGAATATTCATCGTCATTCAATTTAAAGATTCGGAAACTTTAATTTTTAGACATGAAATCGATTTTTGACAAAATGCTGAATATAAATAAATTTGTTACGATTCGGAACAAATTACTTTTATGGTGGAATATTTATTGGTTTATAAATTGCAATTTTTCAATTACGTCATCAATCTCCCTCCAAAAGCAAACTTCTAATGTTTTTCAGATTTTTAAAATGTTCTCCAAAAGTTCAATATCGACATTCAAATTCAGTCCTGCAAAGTTTAAATAATCAAATCATTGTAAACGGTCCGGAAACTTGGGCTCAAATGGGGCTCAAGTGATGTTCAACTACAAAAGTAGAAAAGTATTTCACTGGAGAAAAAATAGCCAAAGTTGGATATCCTTAATAAAGCTGAAAGATCTTTCTACAACAACGAATCCAATCAGAAAGGCAGAATCCTCTCCTCCGCCGAATTTACAATTACCCTTTACCACAGTTCAAGGAAAAAAGAACTACCGCCAAAGCGCTTCCTCTGCAAGTGGTCTCAGTGGCAGTTTATTTTAGCTTCAACGATGCCTCTCGCCACGTGTCCATTAGAAACATTCGGTTAACACGAGTTTCCACTCGGTGTCTTCCCTTTTATACCTTCTACAAGCTAACCCGGCATCACGTGTCACCCATCCGCTCGTCATAGACGAGTGCCAAGCACCCATCACTGACAATGTCAGCAAACACCCCGACGAAAATCATCGACGAGACTTATTTCCAAAACGCAGAAACTCGTTTGAAAAATGAGTGCTTTCACCCTCTTTCTCTTTTTTTTCTCTCCCGTTAACCCGAGGCCAATGTATTTGCAATAAATAAAACCAGAGGATGAAAGAGAAGAATAAACCGGGACTTACCGGTTCTCTTCAGTTGTATCAGACGTGCGCAAGCCGTTGGGCATGTGGCTGGGTATGATGCACCAGTCTTCCCTGTTCCTGTTCCCACCAACTAACAACGTCCATGAACTCCCCAGTCTCCGTGATCTCCTGTTTGTAGTATAGAGCACCCGAAAATGCCTCAGGACTAGCAGCATATATGGTACCACCCTCTTCACTGTCACCAGCACCACTGTACGGTGACACTATTCTCGGCTCAAGATTCTCCTCGTTCTGGGTGTAATACTCGGTTTGAGGCGACGCCAGGGACGTTGGCGAGAGCCTTGAAAAGGTTTGATTGATGTTGGTAGAACGTTGGAGGGTTCCTGGCTCCAAATTCTCCTCGTCACCGGTCGACTGGCCGTAGTAATCGTTCGGGGACATCGACGTTGTCACAGGATTCGGTGACAATCTTCAACAAAAGATGATTGAGTGAGAAATTCGTTAATTTTAGGAATTTATAGCCGTTTTTTCGCCATTCCCTCCGTCTTCATACATTTTAATTCTAACGAGTCTCGGTTTAAGCCACCAAAGAGGGGGCAAGACAGGTCCCTGCGCATTATCTACCATAAATCTCGTCCTCTGTGTCGAGTGTAGAGAGGACAAGACCAGAAGTGGAAGTGAAAAAAGCCGAGAGTACAAAAAAAATCGTGAAATGAAAGAATGAGGCAGAAAGGAATTAATGCATGGACAAAATATGATTATACCGGGGTTTTGCCATTGGGGACTTTTGCATTCTCGTGGCGGTGATTCCACCCCGCGGGACAACGGAGATAGAGACCCTTCTTTAGTATTTTTTTTATTTCACTCGTGCGTTTGTTATACTCGCATATGCGAATCGAGCGACTGGGGGCTCTCTTGAGAGAGAACCCAAAGGGCCAGAACGGTGAATTAATTTGGGGCCAAGTTATAATTCGAGAGTGAAAAGAAGCATGTAAAAAACACGTCAGACTGTTAACGGAGGGTGAAAGGGGGTGAAACGAATTTTTTAAATAATGCTAGAAAAGGGCGCGCGCTTCGCGCGCGAAGTGTTTTCCATGGGTGTCGGAATAGTAAAACCTCATCGTTTCTCACTTTCGTTAATTTTTATCTCAATAATAATGCAGGCAAAATACACTGATAACAAGGATTAGTTATTGGAGGATTAGTTATTGTTAACAAATGGATTTGCTTGGAGGCTAGGGTTTATTCGGTTTCAAGAAATGTTCATTCGTTCATAGTTGACAAATGCATATTTGAGGAGCCTTGTTTGACTCAACTTCCATCATTCAAGTAAACCATTCATTAACTATTAACGAATATTTATTTGGTCATATTCAACTTTACCATTTGTTAATAGTTAGCGAATCTCGTTTGGAATGAATGAACCATTCTACCGGTGTGAATGGTTTTAACCAAGTTTTTCACAATGAGAAGTTAATTGTTGAATAATTTATTCGGAGTCGTTATAATGCTCTTCATCTTCTTCTTCGTTTCCCGTTTGCTTTTTTGTTTTTAGGGGTGTATTATGTACTATCCACATGGACACTATCCTGTATATATATTTTTTTACAGAACTGTATTACATTTTTTATTGTTAAAAACATTACAGTATAAAAAATATTTATATAGTATACATAATACAATATATAAATATATACTGTTGCATATATTTTTTTATTAGGGGAGAGTGGGGTAAAATGGACACTTTAGACTTTTTTAAAATTATTTATAACTCAGAAACAAATTTATCAATTGAGCTCAGTGTAGGCTCGCTACAAAGGGAAAGAGATGTTCTTTGTATTGAAAAAAAAAATTGTTAAATTTTATTAACATTTCAACCCCTCATTAACATTCTAAAAAAAAATCAAAAGTGTCCGTTTTACCCCAGCCTCCCCTACAGTAAGAAATGAATTTCTCGTTTTCTTACAATTACCGTAAACAAAAGATTACAGTACATAAAAAAATATCCATAGACATCACATTACATTTCTTAATAAGCGCAATAGAGACTTCAAAAATCATTACACTGTATTTTTAAAAAGTGGATGATTTTATGAACGAGAGCAATTCAAACCGAAAAATTGGGGTAAGGTTTTTATAATTTATTTATTTCGACAAATGATTAGAAATTAATCAAATATCGGTGATTGAAAACCTGTCTTATGAAGTCATGAAAGAATGAAAAAATGTCGTGCAAATGTGTGCAAAAATGAATCGTTGAATATGAAATGCTTACCTAGTCAACAATGTAATCCTCTTGTTCTCCTCCTCCTCGTCATCCTGCTGATTGTCACCATCATCCTCTTCAGCATTGACCTCGTCCTCAAGTGCAAGTCTCTCCCCCGAGCCATTGTGACTCGAGGAGACAATACTACTACTCGGTGATGGTACATTATTTCCAATAGCCGCATTGGGATCGTACTCAAGACCATCGGCTTCGGCGAGTAGTCTCTGCAACCCCCGTATGTACTCAACCGCCATTCTGAGGGTTTCAACCTTGGACAGTTTTTTACCCCTATCGCCATAACCGGCAGCTATGTGATTGGGTATGTGTTGTCTGAGGGTTGCAAAGCCATTATTAACTTGTTTAACTCGATTTCTCTCCCTCGCATTGCGCTTAGCGACAGCAACCGGCGGCGGTTGGCCGTTTTTCCCGTGTTTTTTCAGTCTAGTGGGGTCGTAAGGGGGTAAGACACTTGAATTTATGTTCGAGTTATTGTTCATTCCCTTCTGAACGATCAGATGCTGCTGATTCCCGAGAATATTACTCTCGTTATCCTGCAGAGTTCTCAGCAGCATCAGTTGCTCCTGATCTCCATTATTAATCTGCACTCGATTGCAGAAAACAGTCACCCCCATAGTCGTCATTTTCAAGTGAATAATACTCAGTTGTTTCAGCCTCCGACTATTCAAACTCAAGCCGAAACAATTCTCAACTCTTTCATCCGCACTTATTCTGGTGGTTAAAACTTCTCGGTTCTTCTCATCGACTCTAATACCACTCGAGGACGAATCTAATTGGTGCCGCGGGCTTTATAAATAAAACGCACCAACGCTCGTCGAGAGTAATAGAATCAACAGTGAAAAAAACCTCAGGAATTATGACAATGGAAAAACTACGTCAGAGAATGATGAAACGATTGTCAGATATTCAAACGATTTGTCACGAATTTCATGTGATGTTATCGAGTTGAGTTCAATCGTATCTCAACTGTCAGTAACTGTTTTTATTTATTCAATTTGTGTAATTATCACTGCGGTCTTGGCTCCTTATTCTAACTGGGTGTCAATTGTCGTGGCGCCGTTGAGTGCTTGCATGAGCTCACTCGTTTCAACGGTCGTCGACTTTGGATAATATAATTCACAAAAAATAATTGTCGTCTAACACTTGAACATCATTGGAAGCACTAGTTCATTCACCAATTCCTCACGTTAATTCGGTTAATGATGATTATTGCGGGCGTTTTTTTCACTTTTTGGGAGTAGAAATTATTGGGAACTTCAATGTTTAAAACACACGTCGCGTGCTACGCGCCGCATGGCGTCCGCATTCGGAATGAGCTCCTTCTTACACATCCGATAGGAGTGATGGTTTAGGTATCGCCATGGCGTTGGGTTTTGTATACGCACACATGCGAAGATATAACAGAAGTGCGGAGTTGTACTTTAGGGGAAGGACGGCTTGTGGAGAATTGGTGGTGGGGGATTTCGAGCACGCGCCGAGCAACTATACCAGCCCCCTTGTGTGCAGTGCCCAAAGGGACGGGAAGTTGTCTCGGTCTAGCGTGTGGGGGTTTCATTCGGGTTTAGGGTGCCCTCTCTGTCGCCGCAGCGTCGATCGCCGGAACTACTCGGGGTGGTGGTAGACTGGTGGTGTGGGCCACTCGGCGCGAGCCATATGGCGAACATGGGAAATTCGTTTGTCCTGTTGCGCTGAGGTGAATCTGTTGGGAGAGAATTACGGGGGGAGATTTTATGATTTTTTATTGGTTTCTGATGTTCTGGGTTTCGATGGGATGATTCGGGGAAAGTGGACGCGACGGGGGAGGGATTATGGGGGCTGGGTAGCAGCGTAATGAGTGTTGATTACTGATGGATGAGGCACTGTTTTGATGGGCAATTCATTATTTGTGTTTCATCCTCGTTTCATTGACATTCTATCATGACAAATGTTGCAATAATTTTAAACCCGATTTTGAAAACACCCAGAGTTTAGGTTCAAGATTATTGCTTAAGGTATTGCCCTGGAAAACACGTTTTTCTGACGATTGTTCTCATGTTTTTTATAGATGATTTTCATCACGCTGTGACGAAAAGTGTACTTTTCGGCACGCTCCGCGTGCCTAAAAGTCCAGTTTCCGCCACATTGTGATGAAAATAGTATATTTCGTTACGAGTGCGGAAAAGAGTTTTTTGGCTCGTGGGAGGTTTATAGCACGAGCCGAAGGCGAGTGATATAATCCCACGAGCCGAAAAACTCTTTTCCCACGAGTATCGAACAATATTTTTCATCACAATGTGTGGAAAAGGGACGTTTTAGGCACGCGAAGCGTGCCTAAAAAGTTACTTTTTCGCACAGCGTGATGAAAAATATTGTTCGTAACTCGTGAAAAAATGTTTTTTGCACTCGTTACGAAATATACTATTCCTCAATTCTGATTTTCACCAATCAGAGTGCAGTATTCGGAGTCACGTGATGCGTTTCACACTGATAATTTCCCCGGCTGCAGGGGAATTATCAGACTGATAATTTCCCTGTAGCCTGTCAATTGTTTTCTACGAATTTGACAGATATTCCTCACATTTTGGTGAAATGTGTCCCGTAACCCCAAACACTGCACCCTGATCGGCGAAAATCAGAATTGAAGAAATTGTCCTCCGAATACCCCTCGACCTTCAAAATTCATCGGATATTTCCCTCAAGTTTTCCTGCATATCAACGATCGGGATCAGCTTTGCAGTAAAATCCCTCGCGCTATGCGCTCGGGATTTTAATCTGCAAAACTGATCTCTCTCGTTGCTATGCAACAAAACATTCGGGAAATACCCGATAATTTTGAAGGTCTTGGTGTATTATAGCTGATAATTTTGAATCCCTAAAAAAACAAAAACACATGTTTTTGTAATAAAACTGCGCCAAGAAAAAGTTCTGTTTGGTTCTTACTGGGAAGTAGAATTTTTTGAAAAATACAAAGAAATGAAAAAGAAAGCCAAGTCAGCAATGTCGAATAAACGAAANCAGCGCTCGGGATTTTAATCTGCAAGACTGCTCCCTCTCGTTGCTATGCAACAAAACATTCGGGAAATACCCGATAATTTTGAAAGTCTTGGGGTATTATAGCTGATAATGTTTAAATAGTCTCCAGCTGTTGAAAAAAAAACTAACTAGCTGCACTACACCGCTTAGGAGATAATAAATAATTGAATGTGGGCTTCTAACACATGAAGCGTACGCTGAGAAAAATCTTATTTTGGCCAAATATTCATTTACTTGAGAGAAGCACTCATTTTTTCCAAAATGTGATTCTCCAATCGAGATATTCTTAGGTGAGCCTGATTAGGTTTCAATTATGACAATCATGTCGTTCTAGAGGATATGTTGCACATGACCTTAGATGAATTTTTCCTAAATTTCTCATTTTCTAGAGAGAAGAATTTCGATTGATTTTTTAATTTTGATAATTATTGACGAAGTTCACTCAAGGTCATAACTAACATCATCGTCTTCTAGAGTAATGTAATTGTCATAATTGAATGGACCGTAATGGTTGGGTGAGTTAGGTGTTGCTTCGCACGGAGACAAATATTCAATAAAAATTACGTATCTTTTTCGTAATTCCGGAGCGAAATGTGGTTGTAGGAAATTTTACGGAACTGTCCCGGAATTTTTCCAGAGTAATTTTTGAGTAAACCAACGAATTTCTGGAGTTGACAAACTTTTGGCTAGAAAACAATCAAATACTCTCGTTATTGCGACAAAAAAAAAGAACTTCAATTCTAGAGACTGCCGATTTCTCCCAATCAAATGTATCTCAAGAAGCGATAACTGGAATTCACTCTGAAATAATGTTTATTTGAAAATTAACAACCGAATGATAGTTGATTCAAATAAAAATCTCTTGATAAAATTAATTTTTTCTGGCAGTGCACAGACAGATTTAGCCCACGATTTCATTTTACCCCGCTCTCCCCGATCTGGTGAAACGGGCAATCACTATGAAAAGAATCGAGATGTAACAAATAGACCATTAACATCATTGATCTCATTTCATGATACAAACCATCGATAATTAATGATGATGGCCAATAGATTTCTACAAAAAAAATTAAAAAATCAACAAAAAAAAATTGAATTAATGATGTTCTGGTGATTGATTTGAAACCAAAACAATGCCATCTGATCGAGTTTAAATCACTCGAAAATGTCTCCACTTGATTTTAACACAGTTGTGACATGAAAATCATCATTGACCAGGTATTTTCGAAGTTAGAACCTCCGAACCCCCGCGATAAGCATCTTTATCTGCTGTTCCCATGTATTAATTCCTTCAGATTTTATCCCAACATTTTTTCATAAAAAACAACACCATAACATGCCTCAGCAACATCTCCAAATCCCCAGAGAACAAGTCACTGGATTTCAATCCTCCATAAAATGAGTAGTGCCTCAAACCTTTATTTCCATCCTCACCGAAATAAACAAAAATCCCAGTGGGATTCAATGTCTCTTCGGCATTTGCCACCACCACAAGGGACGAGTTTTACAATCCAACAACAGTCATCATCGAGTCGGTAAAATAAATTCGACAGTACACCCACGTGGAATAAGAGTGGGACACAAATTCATACCTAAAGGGTACAGGGGGCTTAGAATTTGTTTGGGTAAATCTCCTCGGTTGTTATGAAAGCATCGATCGGAGATTACCGGAGATCCTCAGCGGGGATAAAAAACGAGTGGAATAAAAACGTGTGTTTTGCAATTTGCATATTTTTTCATGCACGAATCAGCCGTGCCCCCTCATCTTTTATTTGTAACCCGCGTACGGTGTTCGCCAAACGTTTAATTCCAGTGGATTTCATTCATCTGGTCCTTCCTACCGCGCTCTAATTACATACGAGATGAATAAATGAATTTATATTGGTAATAGAGAGGCTACTATTCAACGGGTTCATAAAAGATTTTTCTTTCTCGATAAATTCTCGGGGGATGATCCCCAGGTGTTCGATCTGAATGATTTTTTGTCAATAAAAAAATATATTGATGGATGAAATATGATGGAATATGGGAGAGAAATATCATGTGAATCTTGATGCATCATATTCATTATTTTATCCTTCGGGTTTTATAAAGCGAATGCGGAATGGGCGGGGGGAGTGGGAATATTCGGTGTGCCACGGAAGTTTCGTGTTTCGGGGCGGAGATAGAGAGCGCTCGAGGTAGGAGATGAGTTCCGGTGTTGTACGTGTGTTTGATGCAGTTTTTTTTTCTCTCGGTGGTTATTTCACGAGGGGAAAATTTACACCACTTGGAGGCGGCTTTCTCCGATTGATGGAAAATGAGTGCTGGCGAGTTGCGAAACAGCGTGTTAATGGGGGTTTTTCGGGGGCGTGGAGGAGGGAAAATATGGATTTCACAGCTTATCGTGGGAGCAACATGTCCACCTTATGTTTCTTAATGGTACAAATGTCTTTGTCAGTTATTAAATTTGGAGGTTTGCGGTTTTCTATTATAATAAATGATTTTTCATCTTTTGAGAACAGTTGGGGGAGTCGTGTTGGTGGATTATACAACAGGAGGGAACACATTTATACAATTATAATATTCATCATTGAAAACTATTCGTCCGTCCATGTATCAAACTATCATGATTTTTAGTGAAAGCAACAAATCAACCTTATGTTCCTGAATGTTCCAAACTTTTTGTCATTTATTTGTTGAATTGCATTTTTTACTGCTATATAAATGATTTTTCGTGTATTGAGAGAGTTCCATCAGATTAAAAAATTACTATTGATAAGTCCAGTAAAAAATCATAACATAAT